GGGCGCTCCGCGTGCATGTAGTACGCGCATGGCGGGTCCGACTCTTCCTCTATGAACTCGACGCAGACTCCGTAGGAGGTCGAGTAGCGCGCACCGCAATGACAGTACCAGCGCTGGCCCGTCTCCCCCGCCGCCTCCTGCGCGCATGAGAGCAGCTGTGACCAGCGATCCGATCGGATCACCGAGCAGCATCCCCTGGGATTGTCCCAGGTCTTGTTGGCCGCGCACTTGTAGTACATGTTGAACGTGCATCCCTTGCCACGGTAGAACTGGTCCGCGTAGTCGCCCATGCGGCGGTAGGCCTCCTGCACCGCGGTGTTGCCCTGGCACTCCTCCCTCCAGGCACGTTTGTGTCCCAGGTGGGCGTCTGCGATCCCCGGGGCTTCCAGGACACCCTTCTTCAGCCTTCCCACATCCTCCTCCGCCTCCTTATTCTTCTGGGCTCCGTCCTGCGCCTCTGTGCCCCTCACCATGTCCTTCCTCTCCTCCAGGATGGGCCCCAGGCCGCCCAGCACGTGGGTGCGCATGGTCTCGAATTTGAGGACGCCTACTACTACTACTACTACTACTACTACTACTACTACTACTACTACTACTACTACTACTACGACGACGACGACGACGACGACGACGACGACGACGACGACGACGACGACGACTACGACTACGACTACCGCTACTACTGCTGCTGCTGCTGCTGCTACGACTCAGACTACTACGACTACTACCACAACCAGTACTACGACGACGGCTACTACTACTACTACTACTACTACTACTACTGCTACTACTACTACTACGACTACTACTACGACTACTACTACTACTACTACTACTACTACTACAATTTACGACCACGGCCACGACTACGACTGCTACGGCTACGATTACGACTACGACTACGCCGACGACTACTACTACTACTACTACTACTACTGCTACTACTACTACTACTACTACTACTACCACTACTACTACTACTACTACTACTACTACTACTACTACTACTACTACTACTACTACGACTACTGCTACTACCACGACTACTACCACTACTACGACTACGGCTGCGACTACGACTATGACTACGACTTCGACTACGACCACAACTATTCCTACGACCACGACTGAGACTACGACTACGACTACGACTGAGACTACGACTACGACTACGACTCAGACTGATCCTCCTCCTCCTCCTCCTCCTCCTCCTCCTCCTCCGCCTCCTCCTCCTACTACTACTACTACTACTGCTACTACTACTACTACTACTACTACTACTACTACACTACTACTACTACTACTACTTAACTACTACACTACTACTACTACTACTACTACTACTACTAACTACGACTACGACTACGACTACGACTACGACTACTACTACGACTACTACTACTACTACTACTACTACTACGACTACGACTACGACTACTACTACTACTACTACTACTACTAACTACACTACTACTGCTACTGCTACTACTACTACTACTACTACTACTACTACTACTACTACTACTACTACTACTACTACTACCACTACCACTACTACTACTACTACGACTACTACTACTACTACTACTACTACTACTACTACTACTACTAAAACTACTACCACGACTACTACGACTGTTACTACTGCTACTACTGTGAGAACAACTACCACTCATAACCCTCCTACTCCGCACAATCCCCCATATTATCGTTGGATCCCATATCTTCGATTCGTCTTTCTCATCGTTCTGCTCGGATTCCTCGTTTCCCTGCTCCGCATTACAATCGCAATCATGAAACATCCCTCCTCCTACTCCTCGTCCAACTCTGTTCCTCAAACATCCGTGTTCACCTCCTCCACTGGCGTGCTATTCCTCATCATCCCCCTCTTCATCAGCACCGTGAAAAACAAGCAGCATCATCCTCAACAACAGCATAATCATCACCACCACCACGAGTATCATTCTCAGTATCTTCCTCATCATCATCATCAGGATCATCAGCATCATCAGCATCAGCATCACCAGCTTTAGAATATTCATTATCATCAGCATCATCATCACCATCATCAGCATAATCGGCATCGTCATCATTATCATCAGCAGCATCAGCATCAGCATCATCAGGATCAGGATCATCAGCATCATCAGCATCAGCATCACCAGCTTTAGAATATTCATTATCATCAGCATCAGCATCATCCACACCATCATCAGCATAGTCGGCATCGTCATCATTATCATCAGCAGCATCAGCATCAGCATCAGCATCAGCATCAGCATCAGCATCATCATCATCAACATCGTCAGAATCAACACCTGTCTCATCGCATCATCAGCCGCATCCGTATCAGTATTGGCATCCTTATCTCCGCCCTCCTCCTCACGACATTGTCTCATCCACTCTTCCTCCTGCGACTATTCCTCTCCGTACTACTCCTCCTCACCATCCACCCTTGATGATCGAGTGCCCAGGGCTGAGGAGACCAGCAATTACTGCA